TGAGTCGTCTAGAGGGAGATATTACCAACGACGTGATTCTCTCGGCTTTGAGCAACATGGGTGTAACACCCCAAACTCATGTCATTCATTTTATGTTGAAGTATTATTTTTTATGGATATTATTTATGTTTAATTTAATGATTTATAAAGTTATTTTTATTTTTATTGTAAGCTCGATTTTATGTGATAATTAAGTGAGTGTCCACACTCATTTATTTATCAAGTTAATGATTAAAAAGGGAATTATTTAGATGTCCTCATCTATTTAATTTTTCTATATATAAAATGCAATAATAATGATATAATTATTATTTTTGAAATGGCTTAATTTATTTAATATAATTTTAATTAAAAGATAATAATTATTAAGATGATAAACTGAGCTCAAAATAACAGTCCAATTTTCCTAAGCCAGATGAAAGTTCAAGACCCTACGATATTTTATTTCTCATCCAAGCCAGAAAGAATCCTAATTTTTATCAGTTTCCTAGTTCTATTGTGCAAGAATTCCTATTGTATACGGTACCAATCCCACACATTAAATATCTCACCTCTCTCGGCCCTCTCTCTCTCTTTTACTTTATTTTTCCGAGTTCCATCGCCATCATCCTCAAGCTTTGCCGTCAGCCCTTCATCGCAACCTTCATCCCTCATCACCATCGTTTTTTTTTCATCATCATGGTCACCGTCATCAAGCAGCCATCATCGTCTACGTGAGCAGATCCACCGCGTATTATCGTCTTCGAAGAAGCAGGCCACCACCAGTTGCAGCGCCGCCATAGCCCACCTTCGCGCGCAGCTCCGACGCAGTCCGCTGCTCTTTTTGCAGCAAGCCACCACCATCCACGACCAGCACCACCTTCGACCATCGTGGAGTCTCAACGAGCAGGCTGAACACGTTCACGACAAGCGAGCAGCCCCCACATACACGGCCGAGTTCACCAAGCCCTCATTCGAGCCCCTTTCGAGCCATTACCGTTACCTTTCTATCCGAGCGGTAAACCCTAAAGCCTTAACCTCCTATGGACTGTTATTTCGAGTTCGAATAATCATGAACAAATTATTAATGTGTTTAAAGTAGATAGTTGAACCTCTTACGCTTGCTTAAGTCGAGTAATTGTTGAGTTACCGTTGAGTTATAATTGGTCGGAGCCTTGCCGGGCTTCTGAAAGAATTGATTGAAAGATATGTGAATAGGGTTAATTGTTATCAATTTATGTGTTCATAATCGTGCCTTAGTATGTGATAAACGTGCCTAAAATTGATGCTTTAAGTTGCTTTCGAAATATTATGAAGTTCGGAAACAAGTGTCATAATCGCATGTGAATTGCTGTTTTTGTGCTGTCTGTTCGGAAGAAGTTTAGGCCCCTGAGACTGTGTTTTCGGCTTTCGAGTTCTTCATAAGATATGTAGTTCTTTCAGTTTTGTTTACGTAAGCTTTGGAATCGTGCAATTTCGACTTAAAACGAATAAGTTATGATTTTTACAAAAATTGGTGCGCGAGCAGTTTTTCCTAAATCCGGGCTGCAGTTAGGTTTGGATGTTTGGTGTGTTTATGATATGATAATGTGCTCGAATGAACCTGAGGTCTTCATTGAAATTGTAGTTCTGTGTGTTAGCTTTTATGTGGTTCCAGAATCGTGCAAAATATGGTCCGAGTAGTGAATGATGCCTGTTTTCGTAAAACCGCGCATGGATTTATTTTAATTTCTGGACAGCATTTGAGCCTTGAATGTTTGTTGGTTTCGGACCATGTATATGACCTTATTTGCTTTTGAGTGCTTATTAAAGTTGTAGTACCATGTCTTAGGAGTAATATGAGACTTGAATCATGTTAATGCGATTTGTATATTGAAAGATATGCTCATTTTAAAAATGCAGCCGCATACCAAGTTTTGTCTAGTGTTAAGTATAATTGTTTAAATGGTTCTTAAGTCTATTAAGCATGCTTATGTGACATGTATGAGCTTTAAAGCATCGAGTGAAATCATGATGAACCGTAGATGATTAAAAGGGTGTCCTTAAGTAAGCAAGCTAAGAGTTCAATTATTCCAAGATTTAAGTTAAGCAAGCTAAGAGTTCAATTATTCCAAGATTTAAGTAAGAATGTTTTCAAAAGAATGCAAGCAAGGCGAAGCCAAGCGAGCAAAGTTTTCCAAAGCTTAAGTATAAGTATAAGAATAAGTTCTATGTTAAGACACTAAGACATGACCCCAATGAATGTAGTTTTATGAGGAGTCGAGCCCTCAAGATTTCAGTTAAGTTCAAGTCTAAGCCGAGCATTCTACTGAAAAGGTGAGGGAAGTTCTTCGTTATTTATCCTTTTCGATTATGTATGTTTTGAATGAAGTTAAGTAGCTTGCATAGTACCCAGGTTTATATAATGTTCCAACATTTGAGCAAGTCGTTTATTGCAGTACCAAGGTTCACGAACTATAACTCTAGAGGGTGGCTAGGTGCTAGGGTTAGAGGGTGTAAGTGGTTATATGTAACCTTCGTTGGTGCACACTTCGAACGGTTGTCCCCATCGATAAGACTGTACGGAACCTAATGAAAGGTTGTCTTCCTTCAACCTAA